ATGAATAACGCTTTCCAAGTCACGCTTGGAAAGAAAGGGCTTAACCTTTGATAAACGTCTGAGGTGATAAAATGCTGATTTTACCACCCCGTTTACATGGTCATCAAAGGTGAGTGCAGAATCAATTTTAACTCCAAGATTTGTGATCGAACTCTTTAGTTGGGAAGTCAAAGCTGCAAGATCAACATCCAGAGTATGAGAAGAACGATTTGGGCCAAATAAAATTGCTTCTGTCTTCCGATCATTAAAATTTAAAAAGTTTTTTGCCATCCATGCTTTGACATCAGTAAGGCAGTCAAGCAGAGGTCCAGTTGGGAGACTATCAGAATGACTAAAAGGTAAGTAGAGCTGGCAGTCATCTGTGTGTAGATGGAATGGCACTTTATGCTTTCGGAAAATCGCGCCAAGAGGCAAGAGGTACAATGAAAACAATAACGGCCCAAGAATAGATCCCTGTGGCACACCCCAAAGCAGAGGGGCCACAGAGGATGAAGCCGACCCCAACTTAACACAAAAGGTCCTATTTAAAAGATAGGACTTTAACCACAAAAGTGCCGAACCATTTAGATTAAAAGTACATTTTCCAAAAACATCCAGTGCACAGTCCCATTACGCGGTTTGGCATTATGCACTAGTGATGATGTATTTTGTTTGATTCCTTCATTTCTTCTCACAGCAAGACCTTTTAAAAACGAATCACTTCCTGTAGCTGCCATAACTCAGACACACCAGGACAGCCTGCAAGAAATGCTCTGTGCCTTCCTTGTTTGCTTGTGTCTGCGAACAAGACCTCCCATCACATGTCACATCCTCACCTGAGAAGCCGATCTCAAGCATTACAGCCTTCTTCCTGTCTTTAACAGAGCTGATGGAGGAGAACTTGTAGTCAAGCAGGAAGAAGAAGGAGCATGCCAGCAGGCCAACCAGGCCCACGAACACGCCGTAGTTGCACGCGTCTGTGTTCTTATTGAAGATGCAGTGGAGTCGCTCGCTGCCCATGTTGACATAACCCTCATTCACGATGGAGGCGAAGACCACCAAGGAAAATATCTGTTGTTCGAAGGGAAAGTAGAGGGTGGAGTCAGAGTCAGAACAAAGTGAGCGACAGGAAGGAAGAGCTAGATTAAAGAAAACAACAAAAACAGATTACCATTTAAAGCGATACTGTTTCAGTTTTCTGTCTATCCAGCAAACAAACACTGCTTGCAGACTCACTGGAAGCGGGATTGTGGCTACACTACTCAAAAGCATCTCTCTGAGCATACTCAAACCAAAAGGCATTAACCTAATTTCCCCTCTTTCTCTCTGACCAACTGGAAGAGGTGGATGCTTCGCTTCCCCTAAAGAATCACACAGTCCCGAGGCAGTGTGTGTGTAACTGCACGTAAACCTACTACCATAAACTCCAACTTAAATTTCTCAAGTTCATTTTCAGCCTTTCTTCTTCCCTCTGTTGATCAGCTGACTAACACTCATGGCAGAGTAGGGCCATGTGACTGACACACACACTCACAAAGAAAAAATGCACTCCTACTGGGGGGGAGCTTGTGGGTCATATGACAGAGGTGGAGGGGACACACAAAGGAATAATATCAGGTCCACATTTTAAACTAATCACATGTGTGGATTTAATCTGAGTAGACGCACACTCGGGTGCTTTTAGTGAATCGTTGTGATAAAAAAAATAAAAGCTGCTTAAAAACAATATGTCTTTTTAAGGGTTGGCTTCTCCTTTTACCTGCCTGCTCTAAACTTTGATTCGCTTCTTCCTTAATTAAAAAAATCCTGCTGTGAGATTTCTAACTGACGAATAGCTTTTTTTTTTAAACAAACGAGAGGAAAGGGCATTAACCTAATTGCCTGTTTACTGTGGATTCCCACTACAGACTAGAATTCATTTCCCCCTCCTCCTGAAATAGATTCCTGGTATACTGTCTTCTGTAAACTGCCACTGCAGTGGTGGTAAGTACCACATGGGGCTGGAAGCACAGGGCTACCTTAACGTATATCAAGCAGAGTTTAAAAGGCTCCATCTTGAGTGGCCACAGCTATAAAGTGAGGCAGCTTTTTCTGCATAAGTACATCACAGCGCGTATCTTAACTCGACGTGGCAACCTCTGCATCCAGTCAAATTCTTTAAAATCACGTGATGATGATGACATTAATTGCATACGATCCACTGGCTTCCTTTTGAGGCCCTGGCACCACTGAGGAAGACCTTCTCTGTGTCACCCAGAGGTGATGCGTTTAGCCTACACGAAACGTCAGGGCACGAAGCTTCTCGTGGCCCTCCGTGCGTAACGACGATCGCGGACCAATCACAGGTGGGATGACGAACGGCGACGGCAGTGTAGGGGTAAATCAGCAAAATCATGAGCTGAAAATTGTGACTTAACAGTGTAAACGACAGGTGAAATGATAAATAAGAAGTGGTAGGTGAATGGGACCGTAAATAAGTAGCACAATTGCCCAGAAACGTGAATGCTGATGAGTGAATATGGATGTGCCTCTCTTATTTTCAGCACAACCCGGTCTGCTGCTCAGTGTTTGTTAAACACTGGCAGGTGGCATGTAAAAAAAAAAAGAAAAAAAAGGGAAAGAGAATAGGTGAGGAGAGGTCGTTTACACCTCACAAACACACACATCTGTAGTGAAATCACTGGTCACGGTGTCAGATAAGCACCAGGCCCTGGTTACACCCTGTACAGCACATTTCTGTAAATCACCCCCAGCATTAACATTGATTTCATGTCTCCATTTACACCGCATCCTTATCAGCTTTTAGTGGATTTCTCGAGCCTGTATTTACAGGGAAAACACGTCACTGGTTTCGCGCAGCAACGACAACAGAGAGGACCCCCCCACCCCCCGCACACACACACACGGCAGCACCGTGAAAACCCGCTCTCACCCAGGACAGCACTCTGAGGATGGTCTGCGGCTGCTTGGCGAAGGTAATCGGGTCGATAGTGGACCCGGACCGGCCCGCTCCGAACGATCCCACTCCGTCCATCTTCTGTCGCTCTGTGTGTGCGCTCCTCGCGGCTCCACGCTCCCGGCTCCACGGCAGGATGGATGCGCTGCTGCTCGCTGCTGTAGGGACGGGTCCTGCGCGCTCCCAAACGGCGCGCGGGCGCTCGGTGGAGAACGTGCAGGAGCCAGAACGTGCCCACGCTACGGACGAGCGGGATAGGCCATTTATGCCAGAGCTCACTTTAATGTTGTTACACAGGAATAAAACAGGATAATGGAATACAATTCTAGGAGGATAGCGTGAGAGCGGGGATAAAACGATGGAGGCCACTTGGACCAATGTTGTTGGTTCAAAATAGAACAGGTTAATGAAATACACATTTATGTTTGACCTCAAAGGGCTTTTGCAGTAGGTTGGTGGGATTAATAATGGCAAAAACAGAGTACACAATACCCGTGTGGGACAGCTTATGTTGCCATACTTTTCCCAAATCTTTGGCCAAAACTTTATGTAAACAAATAAAAGTTTAAAAGAAAGGAAACCCAATCTGGGATAAGGTTATTAAAGAGCACTATTACAAATTACTGTAAGAACTACATGATTTTATTATTATTTTATGCTGTATTTTTAAAAATACAGTAAACTTCTACAAACAACAATGCATTCTGGGAGCCTGTGGAGGACTGTCCGACATTAAATCAAGTATAAAACCTTTCTTGTAAATTTTAAATTAACAGATGCATTGTGGGATTTCCATTTTTTGTGTTTCAAGCTCTCTGTTTAGGAGGTTTAAATTTGGCATGTTTTGTAATGTTAAGCACACATTACCACTTATCGTCTGCTAAAAAGGTTAAGGTTAGGTTGGTTGTTGGTAATGCAATTAGTGAGCTTTTGGAGCTTTTGGCACCTCAGATATTTTACGTGGATGAACTGGATTTTATTCTATAAAATTACTGTTTTGAATTACTAGTAAACTTTGCTTAAATCTCCTAACCCTGAGCATATGTCTTTGTTGTCCTGAGCACCATCTAAATCTACAGGTTTACAACTATTCCAGGAGTTTCATATAAGTTAGCATCCAGCTAAGCAGGCTATAAACAATACAGTGGGTGAGACTGTGCGTGCCCCAGTCACAAACACTCTGCGATTATGAAATATGGAATAAAGAAAAGTCTTATGATGGTGCAGGAATGCCAAATACCACAGAAAGTATAGTCACAAGTGTCTCATCATGGGATATTTATTCATTCATGAATCCTCAATGATGACTGAACCATAAAAATCAACATTATCAGCCTTACTAAAAATCCCAGCACCGGTTTACAAGTCATTCCTGGTAAATTTATGTACACTGCCTGAGGACACGTGGTTTGTGATTCAATAAATACTACATAAATTAAATAAATGCAACTTGGCTGTACAACCAGTGCATTGTCAATACTAAAAAATATTATATTATTACACCTGGAGAAAAACAAATGTGCCATTTTTAATATTCAGTGAATTGTTTTATGTAAAGTGTTCTGAGAAAGGCCACTGAAGCAGTAGATGTGTTGATTTATACAATGAGGTGCATTTATGGCTGACACCACTAGAAGTCACTAATGTTTTCTGTAGTTTAATAGTCTATGTTTGAGGAAATAAACTGAATGTGTGATGACACTAGGGTTATAAAGGAAATAATTCTAGACAAGATATGGCAGGAGAATATGGCATAAATAGAGAAAAAATTATATGATCAGTAAAACAAATATAAGAACTCTTCAAAATAAGAGCTTTTATGTAGTCTTTTGAGTCAGTGTGTTTAAATTTTCACAAATGCAATCATTTTGATTAGACATGTTTTATTCCCTCTGGAAAACAGACACATTTCTGTCACACGTTTACACAGTCTAGTGATTTCTGTTGAGTGATTACTTTGTCAGACCAGCAGACAAAGCACTGCATAGTGTATAGTAAAAAATGAAATGACAGAAATTTAGAAATTTTACTGGTCCAAAATTTACAGTACTTTAACAAAAGTCTTGACTCTTCATTTCTCTATATTTTGCTGGGAAAATGGGAAATAGGTGCAGTGATATACTGAAACATGCAAAAATACATGAAAATATAGTATACAAGACAAAATGAAAGTTAATATTTCCTATGACTGCCTTTATTCTTCAACACAGTCTGAACTCTCTTAGGCAGCTTTCTTGTCTTTTCTGTGGGTAAGGGGTGGGGGAACTCCAGGCCTCAAGGTCCAGTGTCCTGAAGGTTTTAGATGTATCCTTGATCCAACACAGACAATTTAAATGGCTAAATTACCTCCTCAACATGTCTTGAAGTTCTCCAGAGGCCTGGTAATGAACTAATCATGTGATTCAGGTGTGTTAACCCAGGGTGAGATCTAAAACCTGCAGGACACCGACCCTTGAGGCCTGGAGTTCCCCACCCCTGCTTTGAGTAGTCTTCATTAATAGTTCTCCAGGTTTCTTGAAGGACATTCCCAGCTTTACTTTGGATGTCCAAAGATAAACTTTGAAAGACTTTCAGAAAGCCTGGAGAACTATTGCTTAGGACCACTTTGAAAAATTACAAGAAAATCTGGCTCTTGGGAAGCAAAATATAAAGAAATGATGACTCGATATGTTTCCACAGCACTGAAGGTTGGTGATAACGAACCAATACACAGGTGTCTTTGCTCTAATGGTCAAGTGAGAGTCATACCTGGTTAAGCACTTCCAACAAGGAGAGGATTATAATATAACCCAGAATCTTGAGTTTAGTGTTTTGAGTTTCTCTCTATAATATTGCAGAAAACTGTTTTTATGTTTCAGTGCTTTACAAATAAAACTGAACTGAAAGGATCTGAACTCAAGAAACACTGAGGAAAACTATTATGTAATCTTTAATTTTATTAATAGATTAATTATACTATATTAAAACAAAACCAGAAAAACCCAACACTCAAACATGAGCTCAGTTTAGTGGTGTTTTATACCGACGACGGGGTTTACTCGAGTCTTCAAATCTCTCTCAGCACAATCACTCAATCACAGGAGCCATCTTTCCATCCATCTCTCCACCTCTCATCCACACGGGAACAGTCAAACTCAGGCTTCCCCAACCTGACGTTGATGTTATTGTGAAGACGACAGAACCACTGAGAAAGAGCGTGGCGGCTGCTAGTGTCTGGCTGATTGGTTTTCAATCTGTGGAGAGGAAATGTGGTTTGGTGATCGTGGCATTTCATCCTAAAACATCTGAAAGTGTGAGGGTGGTAAATAAAAGAGTAAAATATGCCGAATCATTTCTAAGATCCTTTATGTGTGAAGATGTGCGCAAGTGCCGATATGCGACTTTCAGCCCTGTACATTAAATCTGGCAGCACTCGTGTGGTTCTGACCTGTCCCTGAGGTCTTGTGCACATTCATCACACGGGAAGAACTTGGAGAAAATGTTGATGAACTGCCCCATCTCTTGCTGCTGAGTGGTAGATGGATGATCCGGGTAATACGCGGCCATAGTGTGCAGAAAGGACCAAGTGCTGCGGCCCAGCTCTTCCCTGTCCAGCGGACACTGGGGATCTTGTGGCTCTGAATCTGCAGCTTTTGTCTCCTGCAGGATCAACACAGACAGTCACCTGATGAATTTAAGAGAGACTAGTGGCCTGCTGCCCCGTCTGAATGAATGATTTATGGTTGTTTGGTTATCACAAATACATATTGATATCTCTCCAGTTTGCTGGCTGCCATCACAACCAAATCTTAAAACAGTGAATCACAATGTTACGACATCATAAACTTTACACCGTCGAAGTAATTTGTCAAGTTTCCAGCCTGACTCCATTGTGTCACCTGTGCGGTACCACCACTAGCAGTTGTCGCCTGCTTCTTCTGCATCTTTATCCACGATTTAAAGTCCGTACAAGCCCTGCATGGCTTCTTTTTCACATCCCCGGTCTGCTCCTGCTCTTTACCGGAGATGTCCTCCGGTGGTCTGCTAGCCATTGGAAAGGGGAATCCTTCAAACGCAGAGGGCACCTGTGATCCTCTCGGTCCCGTGGGCGCAGCCATGCTTACTTTACGTATAAGCTAATACCGCTAACTGAACACTTGACAGGCATGGACGTATAGCTGTTTGAAATGCAAATGCCTCTTAGTGGACGGGTAATTGCTCTTTAATATTTCCTCTACCGTGGCGATAGTGTCATGGTCACAAGCGGTCACTTCCCCGACTGATGTAACGACATCGACACACGCGGTAAAAGTTTCCCCGAGTTTTCTTGTTTCCTCCCGGACATTTCACTGGAACGGACCGTGTTCCGGTTGGTGATGTCGGTTAACTGTGCATGCTGTTGAGTGTATCCTCTGCTAAAGTGTAATTTTCTACAGTATTTCAATAATTTAAGCTGTTGACATTACCCGTGTTGTATTCGGGTGCTCGCTTGCTTTATCATATCCTCACTCGCTGTTTTTGTTGTTGTTTCTCAACTGTTAAAGTGTTACTAGTTGCCCGGTTAGCCGGGCGGCTAACAAAGCTAACAACTCTGGAGTGACACGTTTCTTTTTTTTTAATTTGCTGATTATTCTTTAACAGTGTAAGCGTTGACACCTGTCTGAACTTCAGCCATGGGAATCCTGGAGAAAATCGCGGAAATAGAGAAAGAAATTTCTCGAACACAGAAAAACAAAGGTGAGAGGGAGAAGTCGCAGCGCTAATTGTTAGCGCCACAATGGACCAACTTGTACCCAGCTGTGTGTGTTTGTCAGCTATGAGTGTTGCATTATACCTCAAGACGAATCAATATTTAGTCTTATTTCCACATTTTGTTTATGCATATGTTAAGTACAATCTAAAAACAACTGTATTGTTGTTATTTTAATTGCAGCATTAACAGCTCCATTATCCCCCTTTCCATTCACTCTTACTTCCAGCCACTGAGTACCATCTGGGTTTGCTCAAAGCCAAGCTAGCCAAATACAGAGCTCAACTTCTGGAGCCCTCCAAGTCAGCAGGGGCCAAAGGGGAGGGGTTCGATGTCATGAAATCAGGAGATGCCCGTGTCGCTCTCATCGGTTTCCCCTCTGTGGGTAAGGTATGTCAACATGGTGGACGGTGGGTTGTGTTTCCTGGTCTGGACGTAGAAGATAAAGGAGTTTGTGCTTGTCTTCCTCTAATAATGTCTTTATTTTTCCATAATCCTACCACGAGAAAGCAGGGTAAATTTTAGTATGTTCAGGTTTCCTTGAAGCATGCCTTATTCTGATTTTTAATTTATTTTGGATTTTTTTCTGGAATAACTTTTAAAGGCTTTAAAAAGGGTAATTTTGAGCATTAATGTTTGCTTGTACTTTGTAGCAACACCTCTTGTCACCCTCTGAAGGGCTTAGCTTTAAGTCCTGTCTCTTTAAAAAACCCATCAGTCCAGTTTGTTCTGATTGCTTAGCCCTTATGACAAAGCTGAGGCCAAAATAAAATTTAGTTGCATGCCATAACTCTTATTTGTTGTTTAAATTAGTGTTAAGGGGAGTCTTTGTGATTTATATGGACAGAATTCATAGGCATAGCTAGTTGGTGGTCTCAGAATCTCGTCTCTGCTGGATGATGATATTCTTTGGCTTCATTGAGCGGCAACCTCGAGCTTGTTTAGGGAGCTTTGCAGCCGAGTACAAGGCGATGGAAAAAAGAATTAGCATTTCCAGGTCCAAGGCCATGGTTCTCTACCAGAAAAATGTGGAGTGCTCACTCCAAAGCTGGGACAAGTGGGAATTTCAGGGTCTTGCTAATAAGTAAGGGAATAGTGGGGCGAGAGATTGACAGTTTAATTGGTGCTGCATCAGTACTATAACAGACTGGTAGTCAGTTGTGGTGAAGAGAGAGCTGATCGTGAAAGTAAAGCTGTTGATTTATCAGCTCGTGTTCTGATCCTCCACTGTGGCCACAAGCTCTGGACAGATGGTTCAGGCATCTGACTGGGTTGCCTCCTGGACCATACGTAGGTGATGTGTTTCAGGCATGGGAGGAGGCCCATCTTTCAGCTGGCTTGGGAAGGCCTCAGTGTTTCCTTAGATAAGCTGGAGGAGGGTGTCAGGGTCACCTGCTGCCCCTGCAGGTGAACATCAGGTTATGTAGAAGGTTGCAGCATAGGGTTAGAATGGGGTTTCTTTTATGGCATAGATCTGATGCAGAAGTATAATTCACGTGTAAGGCTTGGCGCATTTTGGTGGCTGAAGCAAGTAACAGAAGAACTCTGGACAGGGCTCTAGAGTGCGACCAATTTGGTCGCAAATGCGACCAAATTTTTCAGTGGTGCGACTAAAAATAAATATTTGGTCGCACAGGTGCGACCAACTGTTC